GCTGTGTGTCTTCTTGTTTCCATGTTTACTATGTTTTCCTTTGGATTGTTTCCTCTACTCGTACTTGATAGGTGGGAGTGTTCATGTCTGTATCACTTTCCTTTGGTTACTTCCTTTACTTTTTACTTTTGTTTTCTTTCACGTCCTGTGTTAGTTTTGCTTCCTGTCTCCCCCTGAATGTCCTGATTGTCCTGTTACCCTCGTGTTGGTCCTTCCCTAATCAGCCCTCCCTGTCTATAAATACTCCTGTCTCCCCCTTGAGCCTCGATTATACTCTGCTGCAGACACAGACAGCTGGAGACACAACAGTCGCGCAGTCATTCCTGTTGTACTTCTTTAATATTCACCTGCTGGACACATGCAGGTGGTGCATTGTAGTGTAGTCTCTGTAACAGCATCTGCTATGCTCCATACATTTATTTATTTCTTTGTTTCTTTACTTTCTGACCTGTATTATTTTGGATTCTCTGTTAAGAGCCATATTAAAGGCACACTTGTTGATGTTAGCAGTATTTGGATCCTCACCCACACCACCACACATCCTGACACAAGAACAATGGACAGCACTGCAGCTCCTAAATGCATCTCCACCCACTTACAAACCATTAAATATGCATTTTACACTCTTTGAGGATCCTCCAGTCATTTCATTTTGCACTTCTTTATGTTAAAGAATGGATGGTCCAAATCAAAGCAGCACAGATATGAGCTTGTACTGTATGTAGCTGCAGTCACTTAGTATCCCACTTAAGACAATGTGTATTATTCAATCAGATTCAATATAGCTCATCAAGCAGCTCAGAGCAGATAAGGAGGACAGGAACTGGCATTAATGGCACATAAAGCACTCTGAAACACTCCCGCCGTGATTTGAAGGATGCAAATCAAAGGCACACCCACCTTACTCCCAAAGTAACTCCCAGGTTTCCAGAAAAGTAAATAAAAGCAGATGTTTTGTGAATCATTAAAGCCCTACATCTGTTTTAAGGATTAATACTCTTATTTACCCTCTCAGGCTCAAATTGAGTTTTTGTTGCTAATGCACAACCAAGTCCTGCAGTGGTACTTCTGAGTAAAAAAAC